TGAAATCGACATTTTCCACTAAATATTTTAAACTTTAGTGAATTTGTTATTTTTCATATTTTATTTTGTTTGAGCTACGTACGTCGAGTTATGCTGCATTAAGTATTCTACATTGGTTAACTTGTAATTTATTCAGTTCAGTTTTATTTTTTGTTAATTAATATAATAATATTAACTTTAAGTTAATTATACTGAATACTGGAAATATTTGTTGTTTTTAAATAAGTGCTGGAAACCAGATCTAATCGGGAGCCGGGAGGTAAGTCTCGTTATTTTTTAAATACTTATAATTAAGGCTAACTTAGTATACTTATAAGTTATAGCTATTTAGATAAGTACCTAGTTGTTACATTTTAAGTTAATAAAATTGATCCATGTATGATGCATCTTGTAACATACTTAGTATCAATTAGTTAATTTCTATAACATAATTAAAAACTAAATAATAAAAGTGTTAACTATAGTCTATAGGAAATTAATTTAACTTTCAACATGCCAAAAAAATCATATTTTATATAAAATTAGTTTTTTCAGACTTGCAATATGTCGTTAGTTGAAGAAGTTTGTGTTTGTGGTAAAATGAAAGCAAAAATGAATAGTACAAATTGGCTAAGACATACTATAGCATGCAAAAAACGAAAATCAGTAGAAAGTACTGCAAAGCTCAGTACATTTTTTAAGTCGTCTAGAAATGTTTCTGACAAAGGTAAGTATAATACCTAGGTATTTTATGTTTATTATTATTTTGTTGTAAACTAGTACAATTGAGTCGAGATAACTCAAAGTTAAAGTTGAATAAAAATTCGCTTTGAGATATCTTACTAATTTATAGGTATAGGGGAATAATAAATTATATAGGAATAATAAAAAAATAAAATTGAGTTGTCAAGATTTTCGAGTTATTGAGGTTTGAATTATTGCGATTCAACTATTATATTATAATACACTTCTTTTATGTATCTAATTTTAATGCTGACGACTATATTCAATCTTACATAATTTGAAATGTAGCCATGTAACCTACACTGTTTTTATAAATATTTATTTGTTCAGTTCACAGTTTTAATTTAAATACTGTAGTCTGTAAGTAGTATTTTAAAATAAAGTCAATGTGATGATTTTATTTATTTAAATTTGTTGACTGGAGATCAACCCAAATCTTACATTTTTACTGATGAACAATGAACCACATTTACTATTAATGAACAATGTGGTAAATTATTTTTGGTTGATACTCAATGAATAATATTACTATTTTTTATTTTATTTATCTTCTCAGACTCGCAATGTTGTAAATAAATGTATATATATGAAATACTAAATTACTAATATATGATTCTTTAATCTTAAGATTATAGTATAATAAACAATATTTTACATTACTACTTACTAGTATGGCTCAACATTTAATTTTCTAAAAAACTATTTCATATAGGTACAATTTATCTACATACGTTGATGGCTTGATGCATTAACAATTTATTAAAATTAATTAAAACATACTCTTAAAATGCAAATAATATATAGACTTGTGTTAAAAATAAACAAAATTATTAAAAACAATTTATTGTAAATTTAAGTTTTTTTAAGTTAGTTTTTTTTTCAGTTGAAACACTGGTTATAGAAACTATTGATAGTGTTGTATGTGAACAACGTAAATCTGACAGTCAGAATTATTCCGAATCAATACCCAATGATGATGTTATTGATTCTAATTTGTTGACTGAAATTCAATCCACATCTTACACTAATTCTGTCGAACCAAAAGGTAATAATTAAATAATCTATTTAAAA